AGTTTTCCTGCTAAACCTAGCGGAAAAATTTCCCTGCTAAATCTAGCAGAAAAATTCCCCCGCTAAATTTAGCAGACAGATTTCCCCGCTAAACCTAGCGGAAAACTTTTTCTGCTAAATTTAGCGGAAAAATTTCTCCGCTAAAATGAAAGCAAAATTTTCCCCTAAATGGGAGACGAGCAGAAGAGAAGGGGCATAGCCTCCTCTCCATACCTTCTCCTCCTCCTCCTCAAGAGCTGCGCTCTAATTCGGCGATACAGGGAGTTGTAAACGGCTTTCATTTTTTGTACTCCATTAACTGAAATAACCAATCAGTGCTGCCCTTAATGGACTTCTTCCAAAACCGACGCGCCCCATTGCGGCGAAATACCACGCAGTGCCTTCTGGGAACTAGTTGGCCACTCAGTTTCGGTTTCGACTGAGCAGATTCATCTCATGCTATCACGCCGCGACCGAACGCGCTGCTTGCGTTTGCGATTATCTGACTTTTTTACGAATGCACAATATACTCATTCTCGAGCGATACAAAACGAAGGCCGGGGCACTTTCCTTGGTTCCCGAAACACCGGATATTTGAGTGCGTATGCAAACGTAGCAGGACGTGGCTTAGTCACCTCATATTTGAGTTCAATTTCAATAATCCCGTCTAGTACCAGTGAAATACAAATGAAATTCGGTCACCTGGAGCATTACACAAATTTTGTTTGCCAAACGTCCACTTCTTGTTACTTCATTGGGCGAAAAGCAAGCCGCATCCTCACAGGAGTATAAAGGTTGAGCCCAGCGTTGACGCATAAACTTTTAAGGAAACGTAATAAATTCGACCTCACTACTGCACCAAAGTTACTATGATGTCTTCCTCGTGTCATCATATATATCTCCCAGTCAAGTTTTATGCTGATAAAAGATTAAGTTTTCGCAAAAGCTGAGACGGGCTAGCTACGACGGAGGCCCTAACAAGCGTCCCCTACTCCTCGCTAAGCCTTTTTGGACGAGCGTTTACTGACGCCCAAGATCTGTGCCTGAACGTGTGTTCGAAATTATCTCGGCATACTCAGACAGGAAGAAAGCAAACACATGACAAATATTATGGCCATTAGCAACCGTCAAATGCACCTTGAATAATTTCGTTCGTTTGGCGCACCGCAAAGGGGTTCATACCCGTCCGGCGTACTTCTGGCGAATGGTGCAACATTTTTCACACAAGTGCTCGACTTTTGCTTTCTTAAAACGGTTTGTATGTGCGAATGTGCCTATACGATTGCAGGATAACTTAACGCGCATACGCGATGTTTAATATTAGTAAAATGCAAGTGGGTGGGGACTTCGCTTCGTGCAGTGCTGCGGGTCAGTACAGATAAGAGATAAGAAGTGTGTTATAATTGAGCTTTTCAATGGCACCTCCGAGTTTTACCTCGCGTACACAGGCGTATTAAGAAAACAGTCATTGCAAAAAGTAATATTTCTTCTATGGACGCACGAAACAAACAAACTTCTTAATCAAAAGGCGCGAGCTCGATGTATGCATACTTATCTGTTGCTACAGCCTGTTGATTCGTACATAAGCAAGATCCCCGAGCTTCGCAGCGTCGAGATTCCCAGCACTGGCTCGTCCAGACACCTCGAAACGCTAACAGAAAGGCTCAAGTACAAAAATAGAACAAGCATGTGTTAAGACAAGCTATATACGTCTCGGGCTTGTGCTAAAGCTTCGAGGTCTGGCCATTTAGGTTAGTTTATAGACCACAAATGACGCTCTCGGAACCAGAAAACATAAGATAACGGCCGTTTATAGTCCACGCTCTGTGTGTAATCTCTTGTCGACGTGTCGATCAAAACCGAAACCATGCCACTCTCCTCTTTGGCCAACTAGTTCCCAGAGTGCAACGCGCGCCGTATTGCATGCAGGGCTTTATGGAAGTAGTCTATTTATCCCTTAGCCATCACCATCCAATCCGAAGCTAACCGGCCAGCCTGTCGTGCATGCGCATAGCAGTCGAACCCAAATCAAACCTTTGTCAAACTTTTCCAAGAAGTTCAAAAGAGTCGAGCTTGGTCGAACTCGAACCTCCAACGGTTTGCAACATCCTTAATTTTGACATGAACTAAAAAAAAAATAATTTGAATATTATTTAGACGTCTGTGACGCCGGTTCCTGAAGGCATAAAATTATTTTCAGAAACATTTTGACATCCCCCGTCAAAGTATTCTTGTCATTATTTTGACATCTCCAATTTAGGACTTTGGAGTCCGGACTGGGAAATTCTCTTCATGTAAATGCTGACAAAAGCAAGGCTGTGATATTTCAACTGCACTCAAGAGCATAGATAAAATGAGCTACTCTGAATTATGGTAACAATACAGTACACCGATAAGGCCAAAACTCTTGGTGTATTTTTTCCCTAAAATATGTCGTAGAAACAACACATAGATCATATTTGTAATAAATTGTCAAAAACTGTCAGTGTTTTAAATAAATATGGAACCTTTTATCTATCAATGTAAAACTTCAACATTACAAATCGCTTTTTTAAACTCACTTATGGTTCACACATCTTGTTTGGGGATATACAGGATTAGAGTTCAACAGGAAAAAGCTACTCGGGAAGTTGCTAATGCCTCTTGGACGACCCCATCACTGCGCCTCTTCGAAAAGTATTCCCCGACGTATCAATTATTTATTCCGAACATTTAATATTAACAGATCAAGCTGCATTAAACAGTAAACTTTCTTAAAAATAGCTGTCCTACGATCCCATATTTTATTTCACCAAGCCGGTCATTTTCACTTATGGTGTACTCCTAAATTGCGAAACTAATTTTGGTCACCTACTTCCCGAATTATTAAATAGCATCGCATCAAATGGAATCAATATTCCTTGTGTACCCAAAAACAATATATCAAACATTTTACCAATGTGCACATAGTAATTTCTGTTATGGTAAGAGTGTGTAACTATTGTGTGTTATCATATTTTGTTATCTATTACTTCCGACTTTTGTAATTGTCTGCTTGTTTTGTAGGGGTGCCAAGGACTCGTCAAGCTGTGTAAAACATATTTTTAAACCCCCATCCCAAAAAATGCAACAAAAACAATGTTAAAAAAAATAAAAAAAATGAATTGCAGGAGGTCACTTTTGAGCTACTCCAACTATACCGGTTTTCACCTCAAGAAAAAAGAAAGATTTGCGCACTGTTTACGCTGCACATAGTTCTTACAAGATTTGGCTGTTGGGGGAAAAAGCGATGCCTTTGGCATTTGAAACATGTACGTTCTGATAACATATATATAACCTAAGATGTGCACCTCTTTATATATACATATATTATATAATCTCAATTCTCCAAATAGAGGGGGAAATTAGTACTGCTCCGCGACGAGCCACCGTGGGTAGTGCATGTAAACATGGTAGATGCCAAGCCCATCTCGAAAAATGCGAACATACGCAATCCAGATCGACAGGCCACTCAAGCGAGAAATCACGTTGCCAGAGTTCTACTGTGGGAAAATACGGATGAAAAGCTGGCGATATATACCGACTCAGCTTTCACCACCCTCCACAATGAACTAGTGGCAATATCCATGGTCACACTACCCCGTATGGCACTGACACTCACAAGACAACTCCCACTGAAGGGGGAGAACTGGGAGCGATTCAGCTTGCCCTCACCGTCTTAATTCAAGAACCTACAATCAGGCCTACCACAACCAACAGATGGCGGTGGGGTGCATATTTCGAGAGGCTAGGCAATGAGACGCATAGCGACGGAGGCCGCACTGCTTTGGCTGGTTGTAGGGAGCGACGCCGCGACGTAATACCTAGCAGCCGAAGTTTGCCAGCAACGTCCCCCTTCGCCAGTTTTGGTGAACCCAGCCCAGCCCCCTGTTCACGCCGCTTCGCAGCGAGAGTCTGAAGATGGCTCATTACAAAACATTGACCCACCTTGGGCCATCCACACACACCAGCGGCAGCACAGGTATGCCCCAGCCTTGTCGTCCCCCACCACACCTCGGTTGCGAGGTGTTACATCGCGCTCTATTCACACTTTTTTTGGTCGACGACAAACTCGGTGGCGCCATCCATCCGGTAGCCCTGGCACACTTCAGGTCCGCAAATATTTCTGCCCATTTTTTTTTTCATTTTGCATTTTACTTTCACTTGCATCAGCGTTGCTTATACTGACAAAGTTTACTAGGATGGAAGCTGCCGAGTTTTCAGACCAGTAAGTAGTTTAAGGACCTTGATACTAAACTCTAAGCATTGATCTAAAGCTTCAAATGTATGCACATGCCTACATTAACGATCTGTCCGTGCAAGGATGTTAGAGCGTATTGATGGAGTGAAAATAATTTGTGGCACAATGTTGGGCAAATTCCTCACATTTTGCGCAAGTGCAGCTACGTGTAAAGTAAGCGTATTGCTTCAGCACAGCTTGGTGACATCGCGGGATGTTTGAAAAGTAACAGAATGGTGCGAGCAACTGCAGCGAGACATTTGTGAGGTGCAGCTGTGCCTACAACTTAGTTACATTTCAACACAAGTCACACACACTTGTGTCACTAACTTGCATTTTTGACCGAACCAGGTTGTTTGCTATAGACCCTTGCATGCCACAACTGCCAATGAAAAAAGGTATCAGCAGCACTTCCAATCGGCTTGAACATTGCACAATGAATGCCACGCCTACTTAATGCCGTTTAGGTGTCCCCCTACAACAATTAACGCATTTTGTGTGTGTATGACAGCACAAGATATATAATGTTAAACACATAAGAACACACCAATCATTCCAAGACACTGGCTTCACACAAGCTGTGCTAGTCTCATTAAGAGAAGATGTTGAGAAGGAAGCACTGGCGACCACGCCTGCAGCAAACACCCACGTCCACAAGGTGATGCGCTCGTAACAAACTCAAATGTTCCTGGAAGTATATTTACGGTGGTTTGTTTCGAGGTCGGAGATATGCACCACACGTCCCAGCAGGCCACACACATTATGCGATTCAATAGCTCTTTATTGGGGCAACACAATAAACAAAAATACAATATGAGTATACATAAATACACAGTGGTGGCGAAAATGCTGTTCGCGTTGTCTGTCTGCTGTACAAAAGGAGGGGGGAGCACCGGAGGGTCAACACGACGAAAACAGCCAAGCGGCAGCGAGGAACGTTGCGCTGCAGCGCCCTGGGGATGCCGCCGCTCTGGAATGAGCAGGCCGGCCCGGCGTCGAACCGAGATATGCCGTGCCGACTTGCTGGGCAACCAAGTTGGCACACTCCAGTGCCCCCTTGCCCAGCGTGAAGTTTTCGTGGAGTCCCTCCACCACGTGGATGTGAACCTTGCCTTCGCAGCACTGCGAGAACAACGAAGGACGTTCAGCCAATGCCGGGAAACAATCGGCCTCTGGAAACAATGTGTCGACAATCCTAGATTAGGAGAGGGTGTCTTCGGACAAGTTCTACGAAGATGGCCCAGACTCATTTCCTCGCAGTATTCCAACATACTACTGCTTCCAATACAGCCACATTCAATATACTTCATTCAACCCTCAGCTGACAGTGCGGTAGAAGCTGCATGCTGGTTGGTCCAGCCGTAGCTTATCTTTCACCATGTGATACCCACGCACACAGAGTGGGGCCGGGTGACGAAAGGAGAGAGGAAAGGCAAATTGCGCCACACCTGCGCCGAGATGGGTTTAAAGCAAAAACATTAATACATTGTTATCGGTCGTGCCTAATGTTTTGTTAAAGGCAAAGAAAAGTGCAAGTCACGGGACATTCGCTGCACTTGACTAGTTTAGCCGACGAAAGAACCACGCACAAGGAGACGACGAGTGCCACAATGTCGTGCTTCGATGCTGCAAATCAACCGGGCAGAACATAAATCGCTTTGGCCGGTTGATCGCCGACGTCGTCCAAATTCGCGGACGATGTCGGCAATGTCGAGAACTAAAACTTCCGAGAAAACTTTGCAAAAATGCTAGGATTGTGGCTAGCGTGATAAGACAGAACCAGGGTCGTGTACTCCTGACCAGATCACTCGATTATTGCTTCTGCTACATGCCCTCGTGCCATGACACTTGGCACTTCTGCCACCCATGTCTACCCTCGTCTCAGCAGCGTGCATGTGTCATGCTTCACCGCTTTGCACCGGAGTGCTGGGAGCAGCGGCTGACCTGGAAAGCGCCTGGCTGGGCGCGATGGGTACGCAAATTATGCTCAGGGTTATTACAGGCCCACCTTATTTGTCTTAATTGTAAATTAATCCAGATTTAAAAAACCACTGTTGAGAGTAGGGTTTTAGAACATTAGTGGATGACTGTTTTTGCAGTTTATTAGAGTTGTGTTTAGTAGGTTCCTTAAACCTAGAGGACACATTTTTATTGATGGATGAGTTAGCAGATATGCTGGTTTTTGCTGGAATTTTATGGAAATTATATTTACAGATTAAATAAAACAGTAAAATAGATCCCTGTATCTATTCTTAGACCGTGATCATTTCACCGACATGCTCAACTTTCCGACAATTATGACCAGATAGCGATGTTTCTAAGTTAAGCTGAATGTGGCAAACATTCAGGACTTTGGAACAGTGGTAGAGCTAGCTCTAAACATGAGCATGTACAACCCACATACTTTATGCATGTGATAGCTCAACAGATTCTGTGCCCCAGTCTTTGCCAGCATGATCGAGCTAGTGCAAAATATTTTTTCGATATCATCTCCAAATTTTGGGTGGGCACTCACTCAGTCCTTAATGCCGTTGCCTCGGACCCTCCACTTAAAGGCCGGTTCACACACTCGCGACTGCTTACGACCAACTGCATTATGACCTCTCGGAATATCCCGCACCAGAAAATACACTAACACGCTGGCGCCATCTATGAGCCAACCCTGGAATTGCATTTTATGAGATCGAAGCTTTTACAGTATTTACGAGATCAAACATATCGAGAGAAATGTTTTTTTTATAAAATTGTCAAAAGTTTTCCAAACCAATAGTGAAAGAATGACAGTGCGAAAAAAACCCGGTAAATAAACATAAATCGAGAGTGATCCACGGCTATCGGAAGAAGTCTCTCACGCAATCGTAATGGATCGCAAAGGGCCGCAACGTGCCGGGTTGAAAGCAGTCACAAGTGTATGGACGAGCCTCGACGCTGCGGTCCAACTGCTTATGTACAAAAGACAGTCTGCAGATAGAGCCTTCTTCCTTCTAGGACGGTGCACACAAGATACACTCGAGGCGTGTCCGCAGGTAATTCTCTCATTGCATCTGCAGTGAAGATGCGTCTTTTGTGCCATGTACGAGCAACGTGGCTGCGGCTTAGAAGCCGACCTAAAGAGCAATTTCTGCCGAGATCATAACCAGTTCCCTTCTCTCCATCCTCTCTCGCAAACTTCTCTCCCCACAGGAGCGGGTGTCCAAACTACTCCCTGCGGAAAGGAGGAGGGTCTTCCCCCTCCTCCAACTAAGGAGGAATTGAGTTTTCTCCCTTTCTGGCCGCTCGTCGGCCTTTAAGGCGCGTCTGCGCGGACCCCAAAGTCGGGCAGGACCCGGTGCCAACCGCCACGCACCTCGGAGAGGCCGTAGTCGGGGGGCAGCTGCATGGCCATCTTGCGGGGTCTGGAAGCCTTGACCAGGGTCACGTCCCCCCGGAACTTGGCCGTGGGGGTGTATTCGCTGCCGCACTTGAGGAAGTCGTAGAAGGCGCTCGTGGCCAGGGCTACGTCCTCCCGGCTGGGGTGCACTTCGGGGATGCCCGCCAGCAGCAGGTCCGTGGCCGCCTCCTGCTTCGCTTCCCACGTCGGGTACTGCACCATCTGCCGCTTCACCTGCGACCGCACACAGGGAACGTTGCACAAAACGCACCTCTCCGCAAGACCTCTCGCTACGGTGCCTGGAATGTGTCTTTGACCGGTGCGCGTTCTCCCCATCCGACAATACGGTGTCTCGATTCCCGCCCCACAACCTCGTGAAGGTGTCCCCACTGTCGCCGGCCACGATCCAACAGAGTCATGGCAGCGGAGGAGGCAGACGCTTGTTGCGCCGCGAGTTGTTCAAGCTTGAAAGTCCGTGGAAGTTTCGGCAGCCAGGGTTGCAACGACGCGACAAAGCTCGCGGTTTCATGCCTTATGGCGGGACTGCTACGTCCAACTACCAGGATCGTGACATCCGGCAGCGCGACAATCCGGCTTTTGCTAAGCCACTTGCTGCTGCTTCGGGACCACCAGAATAGGACGCTAAACGCACAAGTCCCAGACGCATTCTAGGATCCATATTTTTGCCGACTCGTGCTCCGAACGAACTCCGATTATGGAAGACTGAACTATATTGACTCGTAGGGTCTCACAAAAGTTCTCTGGAGGCTCCCACCCTTTCTGGCTTCCATCGATAAAGGTTTAGTTTGGTAGGGGATTTTCTTTGCGAAATTTCGAAGTAGAGCTCTCTTTCCGCAACAAATAAGTTTGACACCCTTGCCACGGTTAACAGCAGAAGCAGACCACCATAGATGCTGCCTCCACATTGACAGGCCCTCTCCCCCAAAGTGCCACAGTTGTGGAGCTTATTGTCATAATAACCAGTCTGAGAATCTTCCAGGCACTCTAGTTTAGGTAAGGGTTAGGGTAGGATAATGTAGGTCAAGCTTTGCCCTCCAAGAGCTTGCAAGGGGCACCCACCTGGAGGAAGTCGATGTCGAGGTACTGCATGAGGAAGGCGCAGAAGAGGGAGGCCTCCTCCTCGTTGGCGTCGGTGAAGCGGCTGCGGTGGTGCACCGTGTGCACGCCGATGTACTGGGGCGCTCCGTCGAGGAGCACCAGGCTGCCCACGGGGGCCCCCGCCCCCTGCAGCTGCACCGCCAGCTCAAAGGCCACCGTGGCCCCAAACGAGTAGCCCACAATGTGGTACGGCCCCTGGGGCTGCACCTCCACTAGCCGCTGCACAGAGGGAGAGGGACACGTCAGACCACGGAGGCGGGACTATGGTACACTCGTTATTTCGAACTGTTTGGCTCCTTTAAGCTCCAGTCACGCTGCCCATGCAGAGTACAGGAGACGCGGTGGCCGCCGCAAACGCGAAGGAATTATTTGCGTGCACACCTCGGGCACGTTTGAGCACGATGTATCACAGTGCAGTCAACTTATAACGACAATGAGAAAACCCCGAAATTCAATCGTCAGAACCGATTGTCGTCGTGTCTAGACCAGAAACAGCATTCCTAGTCCAGAACCAATTTTTATAAGCGGTACGTTATTGTACGTGGTATCGCTACAAGTGGATTGCACCGTAGCAGCATGACCGCGACTAAGGTATTGGGCAGTGCCCCAGGCGCTCCTTCGGTCGACGCCACGCGCGTGCCGGTTGGCGGAGGGCAGGCTGTGTGGGCGCACCTGGAGGTAGATGGCGGCCAGCTCCTCTATGCTGTGTGCGGGGATGTCGCGCGTGCGCTGCAGCCCGACGGCCCGCATGGGCAGCTGCTGGGCCAGCTCGGAGAGGGCCCCCACGTGGCCCTCGATGGAATGCACCAGGAACACCAGCCCGCCGGGGCGCCCGTTCATCTCCACTGCCACTTGGTCCGGCACCAGCTTCTCGATGAGCGTCAACCGGGGAACCTCGGACACCGACGAGTCCTCTGCGGGGCAAAAGAGCCCGTGAGCCTCGCACGGCATTCACAAACTATGGCAAGAAAAGATACGCGGGAATGCTCTTTACTCTTTTGACCGTCGTTCTCTTTGTGTACGATCGCTCTTGGCTCCTTCGATTGACATTCGCAAAACTAGTTCCTTTCCAGGCAAAGCCTTCCTCAATCCATCACTAAATGCTTAAGGTTAAGGCACTTGCGTTTGGTTGCATGGAAGCCCAGCCTTGTACTCCTTCGTAAATGACCAGAGAGGATAGTATTACTTCTTCCCAACTAATTACAAATTTTGATGGTGTCAAAGCAATGCTCTTGAAGCTCGAAGCACCACGGACGAAACGTGCACTGTGCACGCCTTTCTAGACTGCCTGCTCGGCCAGCAAGCCCGCCTTCCAGTGACGTTCTGAATTTAGAGATCCCAAACAGAGTGAAGAAAAGAGTAAAGGTCAAAAAAGATAGCCAGTCTGGGTGGTCAAGTTGAAAATTTGTCTGCATCCGAGGGATAAATTCTGCGTATGCAGAACGCGTTTCCACGGCAATCTTTGGGGAGAGTAGCAAACTTTTTCAGGCTTTTTTTTTTTTTTTCATTTGATCATTTTAGTTAAAACACATTCCATGTTAAAATTTCCGGAGTGCCCCTCTAATTGGACGTCCCTTCGCTTTGATCGAGCGGGCAATCTCGCCGCCCCAAGCGCCTCTGCGTGTCGCGAGAGTTGGGAGGGGGGGGCCCACCTGCCCCCTGGGGTGCAGCGGAACCTCCGGCCGCGGCCCCTCCGCCAATCTCCTTGAGCCGGCCGATGCTGAGCTGTCGAATTTCCTGCATGGACAGGTTGAGGTCGTAGTCCCTCTCGATGGTCTGTTTCACCTCGACGCCCATCAGGGAGTCCATGCCCAGTTCCCCCAGGGTCAGGGAGGGGTTCAGGCTCGAGGGGTCTTTCACACCTGCAGTCAGAGAGAGCACCAGCTCAGTTAAGCCGCCACAACGACACCGCAATTCGCCCTACGGAACGCGTTCCGAGAGCCCCACCGCGCCGCCTAGGGCAACGCTTGGCTGGTTCGCACACTTGCAACTGCCTAAGAGCCAGTGGAGCACTTTGCATCTCCGTATATTTCCTTTCTTTTCGCGCATCATTGTTTCTTTCTTGGCTCGATTAATTTTCGACAACGGTATAGACTAGCATTTCTCATGGATACTATGTACATTTCATCTCAGAAATACCAGAAAACCTTCGCTCTACTAAAATGCAGTTCCAGGATCCCTCATTGACGGCACCAGTGTGGCGGCGGCGCATTCTCTCGTAATTTATCACGAGAGGTCGCAATGCGACATGCACAATGTTTTTTGCTTTACACAAGCTCACTTGCACTAGGAATACCCAAGCATATGCAAGCACGCAACGCCGTTGACCAAAAAACCTCTTTGTTACGGTGTAATTTCGAGAATAAAAACAAGCATTTTCTTTCAATCTCTCCTTCGCGAAACTTCACGACGTAGTTTAGAGGTCGCAGTGTTCGCGTAGCCCTCCGGTGGGAATACTTGAATGCAGCTCAGATTCGACCCGAGCATTGCAAGAGTTCTCGATTTGGGCTCGCATCAATCGATAGCTCCACGAGCATTCGGGTAGTGGCTTGTGTCCAATCACTGTAATGACGGCAATAGCTGAAATGCTAACGGCATCTGACTGCGATGAACATTGGCGACATATAATCGGCTCCAGATCACGGGGCTGCTTGTTCTGGCTGCGAGTTGTGTGAAAAAATGCAACTACCATTGCATGAAAAGAAAAACTAATGCACGTTTCATAGGTTATTCCCTTAAGGGATTAATTCTAAACGGCATTCTTGCAAAGTACAAAAGTTGTCGCACCGCTCCTTTCTGTAGTCTCAAGTGCGTGAACTAGCCTCGGCACCTCCCACGAGGAGCAAGAGGGAGAGGACTTACCGAGGATGTGTGCCAGACAGGACAAGGTCCTGCTTGTCCTTGCCCTTTTTCCCGGAGGAGAGCTCGGCCTTGACCAGGCTTGAGACCACAGGGTGGCCCTGGCGCAGGAAGCGGTCCAGCACCGTCAGGCACGAGCCGATGCGCTGGGGCACCGTGCCGCCCACCACCACGTCCGCCCCCATCGTCTCCCGCAGGACGCCCACGTCGCCGATGGCGCCCCACTGGATGGCCAGGCCTGGGGGGGGGATGGCGGAGGTCAGCAGGAGTCGTCCGGCCTCGCATCCAGTTTGCACAAATGTCACTTCCAACTTGCTAGATCGTTCCACTATTTCGGCACAGATTTCAAACTTTGCGCATCTTGCGTTTCGGGTGTGTACAAGAATTGTTTGACGTTCTCCGGGACCACGAAGCAAGATATAGAAGTGTGGGCATCGCACCTGTGCACGCCACTAGTGCTAAAATTAGCGCCAATGTGCACTATCATTACATACATTATTCTAAAGCTCTCTATTTATCCTAGTTTCATGCCTCGATCACAGCAGCAAGAACTGTTTTATAAACGCATTCAAGCGGAGAGACCTTTGAAGCAGCGTTCGAGCCGGCGTCCTTCGAGGTCAAAGCAGATGCACAGAGCAGAAAGTGCTTGCACCCAGGTGCCATGGCACCACAACTTTTTTGTTTTTCTTTGTTCCTTTTACTCAGTTGCACCGTTAGACCAACGGTGGCGATGTTGGCATATGCTACTCGGGCACGTACCAAGAGGACTTTATGCAGTCAATCGCGGCGAAGCTTTCGCCGTGCTGAGTGTGCTCACTTAAAGAGTAGTATTTTACACAGTGGCTGAGACTTTTGTCACTGAGACATCTCTGAACAAGTGTAGCAAGATTAAATTTACAAAGGACATTAACATAATGCTTCTCAAACATCTCGTGCCAGGAAAGACATTTGGTGCGATTGCGGCAGTTCCGGCCATCGTGGCAACAACCACCGTGTCCATCTTTGGCCCAGCAGTGCACAAGTGCACAATCAAAATTTTAATGAAGGAGACAGACTAGCTGAAATTTTAAAAAGATTGCAAGCACAGCGTGTTATCTTCAATAGATGCACAGAACAGTATCTTACACCGTGTCCTAGAGCATAGAGGTTCCGAGGAACTCGGGGGCTCCCCAGAGTACCCTCACGGGTTCCACAAACCATATCGCTGACTGCTCCTGGCCCTAAGCCAATGTTTTGCACAAATTTAAGCACTACTTGGGAAAATTTCAGCCACCCACTGATGCACACCTGTCAGCCAAACAGTCTCTCCTGCGTACATATTACTATTTACGGTATTCGTAGACTTCTGGACGACTTTATCGCATCAATGCCGAGTTTAGGAGGAGTTCCTCAGCTGCCATTCAGGTACTGTCGTGTGAATGTTCAAATTTCCCAATAGTTTCTAACGACATTCACCTCGAGATGAACTGAAATATTTGTACTTTTCGAAGTGTTCATTGCAGCGGGTCAGCCCCGTGGAATGCACTTCTCAACCGGTACCTGTGCAGCGCAACGAAGCAACACCCGCCAAGCCGCCGCAATCAATGCTTCGATAAGCATGAGTATTGCAGTTCACCTCCAAGCGGATATAGTACAACATAATAATGGAAACCACTAATTGAACATTCGCACAACCCTAGTTCCTCAAGATCGTAAAGTCCGAGAACTTGTGCCCCGGAGCAAGAGACACCCACCGGGCAGTCCGTCGGCCACCCTCCTCTCGCAGACGCGCTCCATGACGGAGTTTGCGTAGCCGTAGTTGGTCTGGCCCCCGTTGCCCCGGCCGCACGACACCGACGAGAAAGTCACAAAGTGGTCCAGCTGGGGACACAGCTCCCGGGACGCCGCATCCAGGTGTAAGGTACCGGCCACCTTGGGGCGGCACACCGCCTCGAACGCCTCCGCCGTCTGGTTCTCCAGCAGAGCGTCCCTCAGCACCTGCGCTCCACACACGCCCCTTCTCAGGAACGGCTCGCGCATTTCCATTTCACTGCAACTAGAGTCTATGCTCCGCTTGTAGAGAAGAGTATCGCGACGGACCAAAGTCTTTACTGCAAGTGTTGCGGGAGAAGCGACCGTCAGCCTTGCAGCAGATGCAGTGGCTGAAATGACATGAGGCGGCGATTAATCGCCACATGCAATTAATCGCCACCTCATGTCCTTCGCAGTCGACCAATCACCCTCTAAATCTCCAAAAGGCAACTTGCTTTACGAAAAAACGACATACACCAGTTTCTTACGAAAAAAAAATGGTACTTATTAGGTCAACAAAATAGATCCGGGCAATGCTTTGCCTGCAATCTCACATCTGTCCAGTAAGCCTCTGCACATGCAGACGTTTTCACCCCTGCCCTTTGCTTTCCGCTGCTGCAATTTATAGAGGGCACTGTATAGTAGGAACACCACTGTCGGCACCTATCTGCGCAAATTTGGTCTTTGTCGACGATTCCTTTTCAAGCGTAAGTAGCACGGGGCATAAAAAGGCAACAAAAAACGACACAATGGTGCAACACTTATGTTTTCCGACAGCTGGAAGAATGCTAGGACGACGTTGGGTTGCCTTTCATTTGTAGTTTGCAGACAACCCCCTTAAAGGCACTTGTCATTCGAAAAAAGTCCCTCGATCGAAGAACCATTCTCGTCTGCCATCGACACGCGAAAGAGACGACGCCCGACAAAATACAGCGTCGTGACTGCCATTAGGTTGTCGAAAGTGAAGCTGCTTTTGTAGCCGCAAAATGCACTAAATTTCGAAAAGGGTCTATTCTCATCTGCCATTGACGCACAAAAGCGACAGTGCTCGACAAAATATGCGTTTGCCACATTTGGGCGCCACCCACCATGGCGAGGTTGAAGATGCCGCCCACGGGGCCGAGGGCGGCGGCCTCCAGCAGCAGCGCCCTGGCGCCCTCCTCGGTGGCCGCGTCCGCCCGGCTCACGGCCACCTTGGCGCCGGCCAGCCGCCAGCGGTGCAGGCAGAGGCGCTGGTAGCCCGTCCGAACGCCCGAGCGGGCCGTGAGCAGTAGCTTGCGGCAGCCCCGGGCCACCATCCAGTCGGCCAGCTCAAGGCCGAAGCCGCCCAGGCCTCCGGCCACCACGTAGCTCTTGTCCTCGAAGAAGCAGGTGCGCGTGTGGGCATCCACCGAGAGGGGAGTGGCCGGTACCGCCTGCCGCTGGGGCTCCTCCGGCCGCACCTGGGAGAGGATGCGTCCGGTCGTAAGGCCCCTCGGCGAGATTCATGCTTCCCGTTTCTTCCGACTCCCGAAAAATATTGTTTTCAAGTATCGAAAACCGCGAGGTTGTTCTGGGGGCAGGAAGACACCACAGCTCGGTCGCCATTCGCTTCCAAGGCTGGCTCATTTCAGAGCTGCACTGCCATTTCCTTCTCCCGTACGAGGCACAGGCCTTGTGCAAAAGCTCCGAGGGCTTTTGGCACATCGAGGAGCTTTACTTGACTGCAGACAGCAGCGCCTCTGACCGTCCACCGAATGTGGTGAAAACAAGTCGGGTAACGAAGGAAACGGCGGCGCTCCAGGGCAGATCAAAATGCGACAAAATGGCGATCATCCGAATTCCCCCCCCATAGGCCGGTTCACACACTCAAGTATGGTTCCAGCCGGGCGCATTGTGCACTATTGTGCAGCCTAAAGGTCTGTTCACACACCCACACTACTTACGACAGAGTGCATTACACCTCTCGCGATTTCTTACGACGAGAATAGAGCCTAAAAGTAGCGAGGGTTTGTCTTAAACCACGAGGAGCATTTGCTATTTAATGCCGGAGATTGATGGCAAGTGCACATGCGACGTGGTTTCGCGTGGCAAGGAGGAAAGCAGGTGGAAAGGTAGAGACGCTCGCAGACGAGCGATACTTCCGTCACCTCCTCGCAGGTTGTATTGCAAATGCGGCCCATGTAAACCATGCGACCTCTTCACTGTAAGCTCTCCAAAGACGAGCAAGCACAATGGTGCCATCTATCGGCTAGCCAAGGAACATGAGATTGTTGTATATTGCCCTTCATTTGGAGCAGTAGTTCTCCAATGGGGGTCCGAAGACCCTTTAGGGTCCGCGAAGACATTCTAGCGGTCCGCGACGCCCTGCCTCATCAGTCAAACCCGGGAATAGAGGCAGTCTTTTGCTCAGATAGAGAAGAAACGTGAGGATTTTAGGGCGACTTTTCTCTTATGTATGCCAATGAGAGAAGTCTACTTTACACTAGCTCTAAGGTATATACATTTATTAAATCATTATCATAATTATCATATACCTTTCCCTTCCCCTCACCACGAACGAGGTCCTCTGTCACCTCCGCCAACCCACAAAGGGTCCGCAAAACGTCAACGGTTGAGAACGACTGATTTAGAGCATCATTCTTTCGTTATTGGTTTGAAGAGCTTTTGGCAATGTTAGAAGCAACCGTTTTACATACATAGTGGATGTATATTGGACCTCCTAGATGCTGCGAAACCTTCGCTCTAGTGACACGCAGCTCCAGGGTTACCTCATAGATGGCGGCAGCGCGTCCTCTCGCGAGATATCGCGAGAGGTCACAATGCACTCAGTCGCGAGTAGTCGCAACTGTGACAGCTTGAGACCGAGTGCTAAAAGACACAATATTTGCTGCAGACTCGCCTCAAGTATGACGTCTGCTTCACACATGTCTTCGAACGCGTCTCAAAAGTTTTGTGCAACCAATGGGACGGTTGTATGAAGAAGAAAGTGCCGCGGCAACACTGGCCAGAACGATCTGGCGAGCGGCGTGGGGCACCCACCTCGAGCACCACCTTGCCCATGTGCTTGCCGGAGGCCATGAAGCGGAAGGCATCCTCGACGTGGTCCCGGGCAAAGCGGACAGCATCCAGGGGACGCACGGCGCCCGACGCGATGCCCTCGCGCACCAGCTGGGCCACCCGGCGCTTGTCCGCCGCCACCCGGGGGTCGTCCCCAAACAGGGCGTCCAGCAGGATGCCGTGGAAGCTGACGTTCTTGAGGAACACCGCCATGCCCAGGGCGTTGTTCTGGGACAGGTCGAACTTGCCAATCTCCAGGAAGCGGCCGTGGGTGGCCAGGCAGCGCACGCTGGCCTGCAGCTTCTCCTCGGCCAGCGAGTTCAGCACCAGGTCTACCCCTGGGCGTGCAGGGAGAGGGTTCTTGGCCCGCTCGCACGAGCTCCCGGAGCTGGCAGTTTCTCACGCACCGTCCTTTCGTCCGGTAAACGCGGGAATCGAAAGTGCCGCAGAGGTGCGGGGCAAATGCAAAATGCCGACTCACCCCTGCCCTCGGTCTCGCGGAGGATGTGCTCTTCGAAGGACAGGTCCCGAGAGTTTGCGAAGTTGCGGTCCTGGAGTTGTGGGAAGCGCCGCTTCAGGAACTCCCGTTTCTCCTGGGAACCTGCAGGCAACGCCGAGCGCACACCGTGAATATAGATGCCAGGGATCGGCACTTCTATTAACACCGCGGGTTCTGTTTTCGCACCCCCTCCAGTGCTAGGACATGTAATGGGTCATAACCATATTTTTCCTGGACTGTGAAAAACATTAACGAAATAACCGAGTGTGCAGGCGAGCTGGCAATAAATAATCCAAAGTAACACCTGAGACTGGTGTGGAAAAAGTAATTACATAATTTTTACATTTTTTTATGAAGGGATGGGCGATTTGGTGTTTAACTTCAGTGCACAAGGTCAGTATGTTTATGTAATGCAGACTGTCCTTCAAATGTTTTTTTAGAGCGTTTCATTGTTAATTGCAAAAGAAAGTGCCTTAAGGTCATAGCCATTGTGAAAAAAGGCTGTACAGTTTAGATGAATGGGTCTTTTGTTATCAAAGTGATTCGCTTGTGTCCACGAAGGGTGTACCCGTCAAGAACTCTGTGACATCAGCACCGGGCGTATACAAGGAGCGAGACGTTCTACAGTCGTTCAGACGTTCTACAGTCGTTTTCTTCGACTTAAGATTCTTCATGTTCCCGCACCACAGACTTGGGTGTTACATTATGAATAGACTATGCATGCTGCAAAGTTAAAATTTTATGCAGTGCAGACTATATACAGGGCGACTATACAAAGTTTTGTTTTTTCTCGAATGTTTATTAAAATAAGACGCGAGATACCTATTTTCTTAATGACTGTGTACATGTTAACGGTGATTTGTATATGATAGAAGTTTTTGCGAGCTAATGAAGCAGGCAAAACACCGTCGGCAAAACATCCTCCCCAAGTTCTGTACCCAACTCTTTTCTAGCTTACTTTGCAGGAAAACGCTGGCATCGCCCAATGTCTAGAAACAGATAGAGTTGACGAGCAATCGAATAACTTCGACTCGTTGCAGCAAGGCGAGCACGTCCAACTTATCGTCCGCATTCTTTTTCTGCTCTTTCTTCGCTCTGGTTTTTGTGTCTTGAGACCGCGCCGGCGTCGGAACCCATGACTCTAGCCGCTACACGAGGTGTTTAAGTGCGGAGGGTCCCACCCACTGACGGTGGTGAAGACTGTGCAGCCCATGGAGAGGGCGATGGAGATGGCGGCCTGGCCGACGCCCCCGCTGCCCGAGTGCACCAACAGGGCCTCCTTGGGATGCATGGCGCCCCGCACCAGCAGGGCGTAGTAGGCCGTCGAGTAGGCCACGGGCACCGTCGCCGCCTCCTCCAAACTCCAGTCTGCCGGCACCTCCCACAGGAAGCCCGGGTCGGCCGCCACGACGGTCGCCATGCCCTCCGCCGCCACCGAGCCCATCACCCGGCGCCCCGAGGGGTCCCGCCCGGAGAACTCCAGCCCCAGCACGCAGTCAGACGTCGCCAGGTTGCCTGCACCCCGAGAGGCAATGAGTGACCCCTCTCATCAGTCAACGGGAGGAGGGGAGAATGTGCAACTGGCAGAGCCCAGACGGTTGCTCTTTAATCCTTCGACTGTCGAGTTTTTTCCCCAAGAGGTGCTTCCCAGAGGTAGGGTTTTGTTTTCGAAGAAAGAGTCAATGCACGGGATTTTTTTAATTATCTAGCAGGAGATCGTACAGTGAATCCAAGCTGCTCAGGTTTGGAAGCATCGAAAGAAAATATTGAAGGCAAAAAGTCTTACTATTCGGTTTCATTTTGGTGCATCCGCTTGCGAGAGATTCCTGTGGTTTCCAATTTAGAACCGGAGGTACTTTAGAGCTTCTCTGTGGCAGTAAGCTCTCCTCCTCCGAATTCAACTCTAAGAGGCATTAAAGGTCTGAATTAAAGGGTATGGCACTGACTGCCACTGCTGCCAAAGAGGCCGATGCGAGAAATTCGATAACTACCGAGCCCACGAATATGAACTCGTTATGGTAGCATACTGTTTTTTGGATGACGACCGTGATCAGAGTGGCCGAACTGAACTTCGGAAAGGATGTATTTATGGCTGTCAACGCGGGAGACAAACCTCTCCCTCAGGACTAAATGCGATCTGCACCGTTGGCGAGCGACGTGCACCCACCGGGGAGGGCATCCGGGGGCAGCTTGCCCGTGGCCAGCATGATGTCGCGGAAGTTGAGGGGCGCGTAGTAGACGCTGCACAGGACCCGGTCGTCCGAGGCCGGCCGGTACCGCAGGGGGCTCTCGTACCACTGCAGGCTCGACAGGTCACCTCGGGTCTGCACGTTGAGGAACGCCTGCTCCGTCCACAGCCGGGGGGCGCCGCCTGCGGGCCGAGAGTAAGCCGTCGAGACTGGGTCCACTCTCGATGGCGATGGTATTTATTGCACTTGGTCCCAGGAGCGCTCGGCATACTGGCGAGCGGGGAAAGGCCAATACTGGAGAGCCTAGATTACGGAGGGTTTTCAACTGCTTGATCGGGGTCACGTGGTTTACAGACCGCATTTGCAATACGAGCGTTGAGGCGGCGACTGGAACGTCGATCGACAACAAACATTTCCGCCTGCTTTCCTCTTCGCCAGGCGCAGTGCATGCGGACTTGGCATTAGGAGGCACTTGCCATGAAATTGAAAAAGCTACCCATGGTTTGAGATGGACCGTCTCTTCCGTCTAGGCTCTAGCCTATACACGACAAGTGTCCCGGCAACCAAGTGGCACCTAGAGAAGTTACGGAAAAAACACGAACACGCACACCTGCTTGCACTAATATTCCGGTGATAGTAACACAGAGACCAAGGATGTCATCTCCGTTACGGGCTATCATCTCTGTTAAATCGAGTCGGAGCACGGATTACCAACCATTCGACGTGCACCCCTTTCGCGCAAGCGGGCGAGACTCTGGCACCAAAACCAATTCCCGCGGAGTCAGGCCCTAATGTTGCCATTCTTGCGGTAGAACCTTGTGCCCAGGTGCCGTCGTAACGAGCGACCTTCTCCCTTACCGTACTACGCCGCTAGGCAGTCGGTCGTCCGTTCGGGGTCGAGTTATGTTTGTTTACGCGGCTGAAGCCGACGGCTGTCTGGTCGTTCTGCTGTGCGGGCCTGAAATGCAGCCATTTGTATTTCAGACCCTGCGCGGAGGAGTTGTGCACTCTTGCTTCGTTCACTACAGTCAGCGACAAGGTGAGAACGGTAGGGAGGAGCTTCCACATATTAGCCTCCAGCGTGAGCTCCCTGCCTCTGACGATGCTCCGACGTCTCGTGCACCTCGAGCGTGCGCGTGTGCGGCAGAGCACGGCAGAGGGCAAAGAACTAGCGCTGAAGGCTGGGTGTTCGAAAGACGTGCCCTGCCCTTCTCATTTTGTCGGTGCCTACAGCTACTCAGAGACTGAGTCGGCTGCTTCCTAACTGCCGCTTGCCACGTTTTGTTTGTTAGGTCTTTCTTTCGCTCGACTTCCGCGTGCTAATCCGGTTTCCGCAGGAAATGGCAACCGTCTTCGTTATTCTTCGACAAGCTGGAAACGATTCCTTGGCGCAGAGTAGATTTTAGCGATCGTCGAACTTCTGCCTGCGATCACGGGGCATTCGTGGCAGGAGAGGTGGCGGCATTTGCATGAAAGCGGTAATCCTCGCTGCGGCTCGGCTGCTATGCGCAGCTCTCTTTTTCATCTCTGTACGGTTCTGCTGGTTTTGTTTGGACCATGGCTTCACAGCAGCATCATCAGATTGCTTTCGAGGACACAATTGCCATGCTGCAGACTGTGGATCTAAGTCCAGACGAAAAAGATACGAGGTCAGCTAAAATGGTAAAATTTTTTCTTTCGGGGCAAACATCCTGTAAACATCCTCGCAGAATAAACAGTTCAAGAGCTACATTTTGTTCCAGCTGTCAGCCTGCCTAGAACATTATCGGTTTTTCGGGGGTCATAAATGTTTTTCGTGGTCCACTGAAGAATGCATTAACGAGTGTTTACCGTAGTGTGAAGAAAATAACCGTTACGAAGCCCCGGCCTTAAACTTTGCGGTATGCCCAGTTTTGCTATAGCGAATCACGGGATATGTCAAACAAAAATGCGTGTCCGACAGGGTTCTTTATAAATGGGTTCGACTAAGAACAAACACGTCAGAGGCGGCACAATCTTCTCTCGCTATTTGTATGCGCTGTTAAACATTCTCACCAAAAATATGTGCCCAGCTGTGAACTCGTTATCGGTTCAAAAATGTAATGTTGGGTGATTATGCGCAAGCTATGGTACAACATCCAATCAGAAGCCGAGAAAGCTCTCGCCGACTTTGATCAACTTGGACACCAGGGAATACTGTAGTCTCTTGAGTAAAAAAGCTACATGGAGCCCCACTCACGTGACTGCGTCACGGTGTGCCTGAAGGAGCCCCACTTTCCGTCGCGGTAGACGTTCATGACCAGGTCCCGTTCCACAAGCTCCTTGTGCTCCGAGCTGGCTGGCTGGAAGTTGGCCACTGGGTTTGCGCCGCCTTTGAGGCTGGCATTGAAGACGCACCTGGGGAAAAGACCACACTAAGGTTAGGTGACCTACAGTTTGGTATGCCATGGTTCAGTACACTGTTCTTAGGTACACTTTGTTTAGGACCATGACAGCGTGGTCAACGACAGCGTGGTCAACGACAGCGTGGTCAACGACAGCGTGGTCAACGACAGCGTGGTCAAAGACAGCGTGGTCAAAGACAGCGTGGTCAAAGACAGCGTGGTCAAAGACAGCTAGGTCAAGGACACAACAACAGCTAGGTTAAAGACAGCTAGGTCCAATGTAGAGGTAGAAGACAGGTCAAAGACAGATCAAAAACAGTTGGGTTCACAATGGTTGGTTAGAAGACCGTTGGGTACACAATGGTTAGGTACGTTACGGTTAAGTACACTGCCCAACCCATTGTGAACATGACATCTACACCTTTTTTTGCACATTACTTATACAGACTTGTGTGATGTACCAAACTGTATAAGCTGTGTTTGAGCCCCATTGTAGCATGTTTTGAAGGTAGAAGTCTCAATAACATTGTTATGCTTGTGTCAAAGAAACAGGAGACTTCCAACCTAACTGCCAGCTAAATCTACAATTCATAAGATCACAGTTAGGTGCAATTAAGCCGTCTGTGGAATTCCAACGCTCAACCGAAACCCCTCTTGGAAATTTGCACACTGCCGGAACTGTTTTCTTCTGCAACGTAGACTGCCCACCTGATGTGGTCCCCTCCAGTCTCCTGCCTGAGGCAGTTGGTGAGCCCAACGACCCCGCTGGTGCCCACGTCCTCAGCCACCAGCCAGACATTCTCGCCCACCGGCCTCTCCTGGTACTCAGTTGCCTTGGCTTTGATCTCTTCCACCCAGCCGAGCCCGCCGTTTCCAACCCGGATCACTGCCTGTTTGTCTACACCAGCCGGCGTGGCCGGCCTCTTCCTGAACAGCAGGAGCGCAGACACATTGTTGGATCGGAGGCCCACGAGCCAGAAGCCACGCTCCCTGAAGGCAGCCTCGACAGAGTCTCGAGAGTGTACCCGGAGCGGCACCTTGCCCACAGTTGACAGGAACATCTCGGCGGGCGTGAGTGCAGTCCGCAGGGACAGCAGAACAAAGCCACCCTCCCTCGACTGAGCCGCGAGCGCATCCGTGAGTGCCTCCAGTGCCTTGCTGCCGACTGCATCACGGGCTACCAGGAGGTCGGCCTCGGGAAGGGTGGTCTTCGACGGGGATGCCACGTCCCAGGCAACCTTCTTGGCGTCTTCCGGAACTTGCTCTTCCGTAAAGACATCCGGTTGCGGATGTGCGATCGTCAGAGTGGGAGCGCTCCGGCGTTCTTGGAGGCTGTTTGCTTCCGTCGTTTTCGGCAACGTCACCTCCAGGCGTTGCCGCAATTAGTTTTCCCGGCGACGCAGGGGAGATAGGCTCTCTCGGCGGGGTCGTTGGGCTGGGGACGCTGAACGTCGTGGCGATGGGGAGCGGGCTTCACGGTGGAGAGACGACACTGGGGAGGGCGAGCGTCGGAGGTACTCCTCAATGTCGCGAGGGCGTTCGTCGTATCTTGGGCGCGGGTTGCTTGGGTGGAACCCGCACAGCCCCAGTTGTCTGTAGGGGCATCGACGGTAAATGTGGCCGGCTTCACCGCAGTGATAGCACAGGGGTCGTCGATCCGCTGTCCTCCACACGTCGGTCTTTCGTGGCGCTGCCTGTTCTGGGTGGGCGTGCGCCCGATCTTCCTGGCGTCGGGGAAACTGCGGTGCTGGAGGTTCACGTCGGGGTGGCGCGGTGTACGGGTAGGCAGGGGGCGGTGGTCGTCGGGTAGCCGCGGCGTAGCTCAGCGTCGGTTGTTCGGGAGCGGCGTTGACAAGAGCTTGTGGCTGAAGCGCCTTCTGAACTTCTTCCCGGACAATCACGGCGATTGAGGGCGAATCCGGGCTTGCGGCAGCAGGAAGAAGCTTCCTGATTTCCTCCCGCACGACGTCCCGGATGATGTCGCGGAGGTCCGGGAAGTCGAGAAGGCAGCGACGCCGGGAAGTCGCTGGTAATGGGAGGCCCGTGCTTGAAGGGCCCGTTCGATGTTTGTGGCTTCCTTGACGAAATCTTCGACGGTGGCTGGGGGGTTGCGGACAAGGCCTCCGAAGATGGTCTCTTTCACCCCTCGCATCAGGAACCGCAGCTTCTTCTCGTCAGGAGCGTTTGGGTCGGCGCGGTTCATGAGGCCGAGAACGTCCTCGACGAAACTTGTGACGCTCTCGTTTGGCCCTTGGCTTCTTGCTTGAAGCAGTTCGTCGGCCCGCTGACGTAGTTGCTGGCTGGCAAACGTGCCTCGAAGTTCCATCTGGAAGTCTTGCCACGACGAAATGGACGCTTCGTGGTTCTCGAACCAGATGCGTGCAGTGCCTTCCAGAGCGAAGTAGACGTTCTGAAGGCACTGCTCCGGAGTCCAAGCGTTATGGCGAGCAACTCGTTCGTAATGTTGCAGCCAATCTTCAACGTCCTCGTGGACCTCCCCGTGGAATGGCGTCGGAGTCCGCGGTGCGACGGGAAGGTATACGACGGAGGCGGCGGACGGGTTCTGCGGCGACTGGTTGTCCATCGTCGGCTTCGTTGGCTGCCTGGTCCGGGGTGGCAGAAGTCCGTGTTCCGGGTGTAGCCCTTAGGTGCGGCGACTTGATCGAGTCTCGATCTGGTCTTCGTTGGGTCCTCGGGAGCTTGGGTTTGGACTTGTACTGCGGGAACTCGGAGGGCTGCGCTGCACGGACATGCGGTACCCAGCACCTCCACCAAAATGTCACGGGTGGTGACTAAAAAAACAATAAATAAACAGGAAGAAATAAACGTTTAATGTGGCGAACTTGTGCCAAAAATAAAAGAGTACAAAAGATAATAATAAAGCGTCGCGGGCGTCGAAGTCGGCGTGGCAGCAGAGTCGAACGCTGGGGCGAGACTGAATGTGGCTCGCCACGTGGAGCCCCTTATGTACATGCGTGGGCTTCTGGAATAATCGGCGTGGAAAGTTCGACGCGTAGAACATTCTGACCTCGAATCAGCTAGACGGTTCTCGATTTCACCAGAACATCACATTACAGTGTTGACAAAAATGCGTAGTCGCGGCCAGGAATCGAACCCTGGCCCTTCGCGTGGGAGGCAAGCGCGATAACCGTTAGGCTACGGCCGCGCTGCCTACTTGGCGCGCGGCAATATTTTGGCTGGGGTCGTATTTTGTGTCACTACAGCGATACTAGTAATTTATTTCGAGTTTTGGCCGGAGTTGCCCTTTAAGAGAATGGCGACAAACAACCTTTTAGCAAATTTGTTTTTAGAAATACGCAATTCACCAAACTTGGCTGCATGCTCTAGCATTTGCTTGTTCCGCCTTCGCCAGTGACAAAGCCGAGCCGGTCAGTCAGCAAGTCGGTCGCTTGGGCGGCCAGCATGTTCAGAGTATGATAGACAAGTTTTCGTGCATGTCACAACCCTGCCGTTTTCACAATAATTTTACGTTCTGCCTGGTTTACGGCCTAACAAAGAAGAGCGGGTGCTCAAAGCATAGGTCAACAAGCCTTACTGAATCGTGCAGTAGCCTTTAGCGTCTTTCAGATTTGCTTACGACGATCGAATGGATTCACTAAACGGCGCTCCTCTACAACTGCTCCAAGGATGGGTTGGTGCAGTACATTCTATTAGCATAAAATAAAGGCACGCAGCTAAAGCACCTCAGTAATGCCTAGCAGGTAGCGAAACAAATTTCTCTGTAACAAAGCGTGCGTGGTTACCGAGACATCACGTTATTCAGAGTGCAGATGCAGAGTATAACCACTGTACAGCTTTGTCTCCGTATTTGCATAATCTTCCAAGGTATTGTACAGGTATAGGCGGCAGTGCCGAGCTGAGAAGCAAATAAATAAATATTTAAGAAAGGGTACTATTCAGTTTCGTACCACCAACATTACCGTCTTGCTTCGGCTCGTCACTAGATACTTGACAGCTGCCCGATGCCTTCCGGATATGCGGAAGCAAAACATTTCATCAACACAAGTGCTATCCGCCACCGCTTAGCCAAGTGTTCTTTGCGAACACAACTGGGCTGCCTAACGATATTATAGAACGCCGCAAGTTAAATAATACATTTCAAAACAAAAGCGGTTCTTGCAATTGCGCAACATAAAAAGAATAGTGCAGGTAGAGCTGCATGGTACCTACGATTCTGGATATTTGCTAGCAAAATAGCAGGTATTGAAAACAGTAAAATTAACCAGAAAGTGTGATGGGTTTGGGAGGAAAAGAAACGTGAACAAAGTTCAAGCAGTTCAAAGGAGACGACCCACCGAGCTCGCGCTAACGCTGTACGAAGAACAATCTGAACCTGAAATACTACTTTCTGTGCAAACACAAGATACCGATGCCCTCCAGAGAAAAGGGAAAGAAGGAGCTCCCCTCTTATCAGGATCCTCCTTTGTGCCACCCGGATTTGGACAGGCGTCGCTATTCTCCTACCAGAAGATTATAGAAGATTAACCGGTCACTCAAAATTCTTACAAAGGCAGCTTCCCTCTCCTCCTCTTAGTTGGTGTTCAAAAGTATGCGATGTGACGTCTGTGCAAGGAGCCTATACACCAACTCAACTCTCTACGTCACGCCGCGGTGGTGGCGCGCCGGACGCACTTCCGGTCCATTTATGACAATTCTAGGGGAAGCTCATTGCTGTTTGAGGCAAGAACGGGTGTTCTGCGAACCAGAACATACAGAGTGAAGTACCAGGAAATTGATACAGTGTGCACTGCTTGTGGAGAGGAGGACGAGACGGCTGAGCACTTGATACTCTACTGTAAAGGGCTTCACCCTATGCCTACCGAAGACAACATAGATTTAATAAAGTCATTGGGTTTTAGAGACAGCGAAGGGAGAGTGGATTTCAAGACTGTAGAGATTACCAAGCAAAGAGTAAGTGAATGGTGGCAGAAATCGAGAGAAAACTAGGTATTTTCTTATCCACTGATGGCAAGGGGGTTTCATAGCCTCACTTTCTTTGCACTGCGGAGTGAATATAGATTTCACATTTAAATATTCTAAGCTTAAATGGTAAAACAAAATGGCTAGGTGGCGTAAGCTACCGCCCGATCCAAAGGGCTCAGCGGTATTCATCCATCCATCCATCCATCCGGTCTCGGGCGGTGGGCAGAAGTCGCCGTGCCAGACATGCATTCCTGTGTTCCTTTGGAAGAAACGAGACAAAAAACCTGCCTTCTCGTCAAAATGCTGCGATGGGGAATTTACCAAGAGAGTCTGGGAAAGTTTGAAGATCAGTTTTCATGTGTTTTTGCACCCTCCGTTCGTCCGAGAACGTGGATAGCAGCCGTGAAAAGGGCAAACCTGACGCTGTCGAACTACGATTGCGTGTGCGGGCCACAATTTGTAGTCGCCAGATGTATTTGCTTTGTTCCAACATAACCGAGAGAAAACCCCCAAGTTGTCCGGACCACCCACGGATTCAGTGCGTCTTCAAATTCACACGGCCGCCTGATCGTTCGAACTTTCGTCTGCTCTTTCAAAGTTGTCTGCTTTTTGTCGTCTGCTCGTTCAAACAAAAGCGGCCCGTAGACCAAAGTTTGACTCGGTGATTGCAATAAGAAGTAATTGCAGGCCTCAAAAGACTTAAGTAGGCTCGGTGTAAACAGTAGATACATGTTAATTATTGGTACCGGTGGCCATCACCGATTTGTTACGCTTGGTCTGTTCCCGCTTCCGATTTTCAGTATCGACGTCGATCGTCGCCCTACCTTCTACACTTTTGCAGCAAGAGCGACGTCGCTACCTAAAATAGCTAGAAGAATCTCATCATGGTTTTGGCGTCCATTCTGCGGCGTTCATGCGAATGAATCGCCGGACGTCAAATTATTTACGGAATGTTTAGTGGCGTAACGAGCCTCGATAATTTCGCTCAGGCGATTAAAGTGGCAAGACATTGCGATGAGGACGTAGAATCGATAATTCCAACGCGAAAAAGAGTATGCAGACTCACACAGACGCCGACGACGTGACATTCGAATGGTTTGTTGACGCGGGACGCGGTGCTTCTTGCCCGTACTCCATTGCGCGTGCGTTCGAACTGTCGTCTGCTCTTTCAAACTTGGCTGTTTTTTGTCGTTAGTTCGTTCAAACGACAGCGGCTCGTAAACCAAACGTTGACCCGGTAATTGCGATAAGAACTAAGCGCAGGCCTCAAAACATTTTTGAAGGTTGGTTGAGGTAAGTCGGCTAAGTGTAAGCAGATACAAGAAGTTGTTAATCATTGTTACCAGTGTCCATCACCGACTTGTATTGCCCGATTCTACTAGAGGTTTTCAGTATCGATGTCCACCATCTCAGCTACGGTCCACGCTTTTGCAGTCCGAGCGACGTCGCGACTGAAAATAGCGAGCAGAATCTCGACGTGGGAGTCAGGCTTTAGCGCCCATTCTGCGGCGTCCACGTGAAATGAATCGCCGCACGTCACATTGTCCACGCAAAGTTTTGCCTGGATAGTTTTGCTGAAGCCGCTCAAGTAGTCAGACATTGTTAGGAGGACGTAGAATCAACAATTCCAACGCGAAAAAGAGCACGGGGACTCCCACCGACGCCGACAACAACGCAATTCAATGGTCTGTTTATGGGCGACGGCGGACTTCTTGCCCACCATCCACGGCGCATGCGCGGCGCCGGTGACGTCCGCTAGGGGCGCTCCGGTTTGTTTGTAAACATGAGTTGGCGACAACTTTTCTTGGTGGAAGGTACTATCGTGGACACTGTTAGCTATAACACGGCAGCGGCGGCCGTCCCGTACACCCAGCGCCCCATAGCAGGCGCCGTCCGAAACTCCGCGCATGCGCCGTGCGGCGGACTCGCTCTTCCCTTTTGCGAGCACACCCTCGCTTTACCGTCTGCTATACTTCGTTTCATCCTACGATGGACTAAAGGCAAAAGCTATGAACCACCAGATCCAATCAAGAGCCACTTAGAAATCGCCTTGTATTTCACTTCAATGAACGTTACTGAGTGACTCATCAACTTTACATTGCAAAGAAAGAAAGCCACGACATACAGGCTCTTTGCAGTGTCGAAGCTATAGAAATGGTGCAGCGCATTTTGATGAGGAGCATTATTCGTTCATCCTTAATCAATGTTAAGCATGCCATAGTTTATCGTGGAACGTGATTGGACCTGGCTGCCCGTAGCTTTGGCCTTTAGTCCATCGTAGGATGAGACGAAGTATAGGCGGAGAGCAGGCGATGCTACAGTGCTGCTCGTCCGGAGTCATGCGGTTTAGAGAAGCTCGTTTTAGCAAACGCCGCTTTACCGACCCCAGTTTATTGAATCCATTTGTAGAGAACCCAGTTTAGAGAAAATGGCGATGAGCTTCCTTTTAGCGAATTCGGCCGCCGCGAAGCGGCGTGTACGGGTAAATCAGGTGAGTTAACAATTTTGTAATGAGCCGCTGTAGACTGCCGCCGCGAAGCGGCGGGAGCGCAGCAGGGGGCTTGGGTTAACACGCGCACCAGTGATACACGCGCGAAGCAGGAAAGCCGTTTTTAAATATTGTTCCCTTTTCGATAAACGGCGTTTCTCTAAACTGAGTCCCTTCTTTCTCTAAACCTTGCTTCCATAAAACGAGCCCGTTCTCTAAAACGTGCTTCGATGAAATGGCATTCGATCAACTGTAGTAAACCCCTGCTCGTCTGGTACCCTCGCTATAGCGAACTGGTCTCAAACTCATTTTCAACCGGCGATTTGTATTGGGGCAGATTGCAGAGTCATTAGGGCATAACCTCTGTTTAAGAATTTTTTTTGCTTTGTCAGAAACAGCATTTTTACCGATATGCGTTCGCAAACCAGCATGAGCGCAGCAGGTGTGATACAGAAATAGACCGTTATAGTCCATTTCACCTTAAGTCCGACCGCAGCGTACGCTTCAAAACGACAGAGTCAATCAAATAGCGGCAAAGGTGCAACGTCACGGAGTGCATCCCCGGGGGACCCAATAAAGTGCAAAAAGTGCTTTTGTCGCTGCGTGGTGGGTCATATCGTGTCGTAGCGTCCGCAGCACTTAGACCTAAAGTGAAACGGATGATAACTGCAAGTTTGTCTCATAAAAAAATTTAATCTACCGTGATGTTACATTTAGTATACGATGATTATCCTTAGCCAGCGGAGTCGGGGAATCAACCGTGGGCACCTCATACGCGGTGGTTCACTGAACCATGTTCAGCGAAAATTGGCGAGCGCTGTGGCGTCGTCTGCTCTGTGCCTAGCAGACGACAAAGCGAGGGTGAGCTCGCAGGCGGGAAGAGCGAGTACGCCACACGGCGCATGCGCGGAGTTTCGGACGGCGCCTGTTATGGGGCGCTGGGGGCACGGGGCGGCCGCCGCTGCCGTGTTATAGCTAACAGTGTCCACGATAGTACGTACGTCCCGCGTCCCCTCTCCCATTTTGAGTGTGCGCAGGCTCTCCTCCTTTCCCCGGAAATGGGGGAGGAGGAGCCTGCGTACACTCAAAATAAGAGAGGGGCCGCGGGACGTACCTTCCACTGCATTGCCAAGAAAGGTTGTCGCCGAGTGTAGTAATGTCTATAAACCTTGTTTCACTGTTTCAGTAATTAGATGCAAACAGAACAGACTTGGAAACCCTTGCCGATTGCTTTTCCGTGCAAGTGTGAATGGTCAAAAGCCGATGCGATGATAAGGTGAAATACTTCAGAGATGTGGCCACAAATATTAAACGGGGTATATCTATCGTCTTTCCATCAAACTTTTCGGAGCTTAATCTTCTAAATAATTACCTTCTTCCATGTTTCACAGTAATCTGTGGCATGGATTCACCGCACTATTTTTGTCAAGTGTGGCAAGAGGTATGCACCACCATCAGAAAAAAATATGACAATTTATTTAATTACGACAGGAAGCCACGAAAGGGGAAGATGGCAAGACCTGATCCACCAAAAAGGAGTGGGCCTAAGAGTGCAGTCTTGGTCCATGATTCACGACGGTAACCTATGATGAATGCAGAGAACAAAGGAGTCCATCAGGTCAACAGGAACCAATATCTGACCCGAACATGCAGGGCAATGCAGAGCAGGGGCAAATTTATGGGGCAGACTGGGGAGAAAGGGAGATGATATCATGGGCAAAATGTTGCCCAGATCTGTTTTGCTAACCTAATATTTGTTATGTCACTAAACACCAACGTTATTAAAACGCTCAGTTGGAAAACTCGCTCTTGGAACCTGGATTGCTGGCGTCCACCAAGACCAAACTAAATACGATAACAGCGCCACCCTTTTGCGACAAATTAAAACATACAAGTTGTTTTATTTAGCTATTCCAAAATGGCCCGCGAGATGGCGCCACATAGAGTTCCTGTATAGGCTCTTTACAGAAGCCATAGTTGTATGACTGTTTTCCACATACCGCCGCACCGCTACTCACCGAGATGCGATCATGTGAGGAGCAGACTCAAATGCCGTGCACGAAAGTACACATTGCACGCACCCTGGCATACGTTCCCCTGCTTTTGAGCACACTGTGCTGCCATTCGCCAAATTCAGTCACATGAGGAGCAGGCTCCATATGCCGTGCAGAAAAGACGGCGCTACAGGGATGAACACGCAACTCTGGCTCCCGTACGGAGCCTATAAAGGAACTTTAGCACCACTGGCTCTTCTGTGACTCGACGGAACCACTAAGTGTAGCCCTGTAGTTTCCTTAGTGGCTGCTGCGGGAGAAATGGCGGCGCTGCAATAGACTCCTTCCAAAACCGACATGCCCCATCGCGGCGAAATACCACGCAGTGCACTCTGGGAACTAGTTGGCCACTTAGTTTCGGTTTCGACTGAGCAGCTTCACCTCATGCTATCACTCCACACCCAAATACGCTGCTCGTGTTTTTGATTATCTGACTTTTTTTACGAATGTACAATACACACATTCTCCAGCGATACAAAACGAAGACCGGGGCACTTTCCTTGGTTCCAGAAACACCGGATATTATGCGTGCGTATGCAAACGTAGTAAGACGTGGCTTAGTCACCTCACCCCACGAGTGCATCTTTGAGCTCAGTGTCAGTAATCCCGTCCAGTACCAGTGAACTACAACTGAAATTTGGTCACCTTGAACCCTAAACGTATTTTGTTTGCCAAACATACGCTTCTTGTTACTTCATTGGGCGAAAAGCAAGCCACGTCCTCACAGGAGTATCAAAGTTGAGCCCAGCGTTGGTGCATTAACTTTTAAGGAAACACAATAAATTCAACCTCATTACTGCACAAAAGTTACTATGATGTCTTCCTTATGTCATCACATATCTCACACTCAAACTTTATGCTGATAGAAGATTAAGTTTTCTCAAACGCTAAGATCGGATATCTACGACAGAGGCCCTAACAAGCGTCCCCTACTCCTCACTAAGCCTTCTCGGACGAGCTTTTACTGACGCCCAAGATCTGTGCCTGAACGGCGTGTCTGAAATTATCTTGGCATACTCAGTCAGGAGGAAAGCAAACACATAACAAATATTAGGGCCATTAGCAACCGTCAAATGTGCTTTGAATAATTTTGTTCGTTTGGCACACCGCGGAATTCATGCCCGTCCGGTGCACTTCCGGCGAACGGTGCGACATTGTTCACTCAAGTGCTCGACTTCTGCTTTCTTTTTTGTATGTGCGAATGTACCTATATTATTGCAGGATAACTTTATGCGCATACGTGATGGTGGGGACTTCACTTCGTGCAGTGCTGCAGGGCAGTACAGATAAGAGATGAGAAGTGTGTTCGAATGGAGCTTTTTAATGGCGCATGCGAGTTTTACTTCGCATACTCAGGCGTATTAAGAAAAACAGTAATTGCAAAAAGTTATATTTCGTCTATGGACGCACGAAAAACAAAAAAAAAACTTCCTGATCAACAACACTAATGTAAAGGCGCGAGCTCGATGTATGCATACTTATTGGTTGCTACAGCTTGTTGATTCGTACACAAGCAAGATCCCCGAACTTTGCAGCGTCGAGATTCCCAGCACTGGTTCGTCCACATACCTCGAAACGCTTACAAAAAGGCTGAACTACAAAAATACAACAAGCATTTATACGTCTCAGGCTTGTGCTAAAGCTTCAAGGTCTGGCCATTTAGGTTAGTTTAAAGACCACAAATGGCATTCTCGGGACCAGAAAACATGAAATAACGGCCGTTTATAGTCCACACTTCGTGTATAATCTCTTGTCGACGTGTCGATCGAAACCGAAACCATGACACCCTCCTCCCTGGCTAACTAGTTCCCAAAGTGCAACGCGCGCCGTGAAGCCTGCAGGAATTTATGGAAGTAGTCTATTGCGTTTAGTTTGGTTCTCAAGTATGGATTGAAGCCACTAATCATTTCTTCCTAACAAAAGCTGGCACATGTAGATTTTTCACTGAAAAAAGTTAACCTTGGGGGCCCTAGTCCCCCATCCTTAAAATCTGCCCATGATGCATGTGCCAAGAAAATGAGAGATAAGAGTGGAAGAGAGCATGCGGGGACGTCGGGACACCCGAGCTCTGGTTAGAAGGATTGGTGGGTACACCTAAAGCTAGGTGCCTTTGTCTCCACTGCACTCGTCGAGGACGTTTGAATGCGAGTGCCAAACACTGGACGCCAACGTTCTGCAGTCAAACGTGTTCGACAAGTGCAGCAGAAACAAAGGCTGCCTTCATCTCCACTGCACTCGTCAAACGCATTCGAATGCAAATGCGAAACGCTGGACACCGACGTTCTGCATGTGCAGTACAGACAAAGGCAGTTAGCTTTAGGTCTACCCACTAATCGTTCCAATCGGAGCTCTGCGTTTTGACATCCCTGCACTCTCATCCCCTCCTCTCTCTCAATTTCCTGGCACATAGAGTTTTGGAAGTTTAACAACAGTGGCTAGTGAAAAATCCAACACATTACATCCACAAAAAAAAAAGCAGCTTTCTTTGGGATTTTTTAAAGGTGTTCTAAATTGCACAGCACTCATAGGATCTCTTCGCATGACCTGTCGCCCATAGCACACTTCAGGACTAATCGCCAGACGGCCGTCAATTCAGAAGACGCCCCACACGATCTCGCAGGTCCCTCGAAAATGTGAGACATGCGGAGGAGTGCGAGAGTAGGCCAGCAGGGTGGCATTCTCTCCCTGACATGATTCGGAAGGAGCAGGCTTAAAGGGGCCCTGCAAGGACCTTTTTTCTGGTTTTTAATTTGCACCAAACCTGAGCGCACTGAACGTAGTAACTTAATGAAACTTTTCTTTTCTCGAAATTCGTTTTATTTTAAAAGTTATAGGCAAATTAAAATTACAAGTACAAGCAAAAAATAACCTCCCTCGTGACGTCCTTGGTTGCTTGAGTGGCCGTGAACTAGAGGAGGGGTAATGAGCCAAGCGAGCGCTCACGGCTGCCGCACTCCGTGTCGACGGTGCGAGAGGGCGCCACTAAAGCATGTTCTTAATAGGCTGTGTGCAGTGGACAGCCAGGGCGGCTCTCATTGCATTTGCTGCGCGATTAAACACTAATTCGGCATGACACTTCATTGGCCACAAACGACAGCAAACGCGGGGTAAAGATCAGTTCAGAATGGGAGCTACTTCGCGCTGCCATACCGCGAAACTGCCGAACCGCAAGACAAAGCTTCTCACCAAAGGCCACCGGAACGCTTGGGGCCGGTCAGATCCTCCTGTCCACACGACTGCAGCGCCGCCGCGTACATCTGGGACCTTTCCGTGTCGGCGCCTAATCCCAGTACTCCTTTCTAGTGTGCGCCGCCTTTTCCACCGCTTGGTGGCGGGTATGGCGGCGGGTCATTTCTTGTTTCAGTACTTTATAAACTGCATTCGGTTCTTTTCCGATGTAAAATACTGAACAAAAACTACTTTTATAAATAATTCAAACGGTTCGCGCCACTTATATTTTGTGTTTCGACTAAAAACGAGCTTTTAGCGGCTCTGACCAGTAGTTAAGCCCAGGACCAAAGACGTCACATATTGCGCGGTTTCGGCAACGTGGGTCGCCCTCGTAGGTGGAGGAGGTTTCGGCGCCGTTCGGTTAAAATATGATTCACTGATATTTAGTTACTCCTTCCGTGCCCGCTGGCTTGCCCGAACCCCAAAAGACGTGGAAACTGCAAAAAAGGTAGACGCTTAAAGGGACAATGAAGACGATTTTATTTAATTTTTTTAAATGGTGTTTTAATTCTTCTTGGGAACATAGCATGCCGCCCAATTTTTTGTAGACATTTATGACGCGTATTTATGACGCATATTTATGTGCCTACAAAAGAAGTAAAGAAACCGAAACTGAACCATCTCCAGTCTCGTTTCTGGGCCTCCGAAAACGGAGGTGACGTAGGGAGTGACGTCAAGTGTGAATAGTCGGTATCGGTAGTATTTAGGAGATCGAGACTCTGGTTACCGCGGTGGGTTATAGCAGCGCGGTGGTGCGGTCGTTGCGCCGACTCTGTCAACAACATGGACGAACACCGCTCTCGCGAGCGAGTTCGAGCTTCCGTTGAGTGACCGAACACCAACGGAACGGGAGCACGTGTGTGGCGGCCTCTGCCATCACCCGACGGAGACCACCCAGCCGGCAACGAGCGGCCCGCATGCCGAAGGACGGACGCGGGGAAGATGCCGAAGGGAAAGCGGCAGCGATACCACCGTTCCGGGATCCGGTTCCTCCGCGGACTTCCTCTTTTCGTCGTCAAAGAACACGAACAGCAACCCACACGTGAAAAATAGCGTCGCCCGAACGAATACTGGTCTTCAGTCGACCGTTAGAACAGCCATCTACAGCTACCATTTTGCAAAACCTTTCGAGTACCGTGTTCTTTTTTAATTTTATTTGTTTGCCCATAGTTGCTCGTTGCCGGTTTTGCGTCCAGCGTAGCAAAGAAAAAAAAACAATGATGCTGCTTTATTTACGGTTTAGTAATCATTTCCGATCCGATTTATACTTTTGATGGTTATTCAAGCGGAAAGTAGAACAGTATTTCTAAAAATCGCGAACCAAAACGTGACCGAGGGCACGTTTCTCGTTTCGACCAATCGCTGACGCGTCTCTTGTGACGTCGCGCTCCTTGGCCCCGCATCGGTCACGTGAGCTCCGCTTCTCCCGGCTTCTCCCGCAACTCTTGGGGCGTCGTCCCAGTCGATCCCGGTACGATTGTTACCACGACTGTTTAATTGATTTGCGCGGCACACAAGCGCCGGTTTCGGCTGAAATTTGGGCAACGTGGTCCGAGACGTGCCTGGAACCCAGTTCAATCGCCAAAAAGATCTCCAAAATTGCCTTCATTGTCCCTTTAAATATGATTGCAGGGCCCCTTTAAAGCCAGACGACTCCAGAAGCAACATCTGCATGTCCGCAGCTTACGTCCCCTTGGGGGAGGGAAACCTGTGGCTCCCACAACAGACACTCACTTTTCCTTTAACAACCTTATAGAGACTTCTTCAATACAGCCGTCAAACAAAGCAATCGTGCTCAGCGGCTGAAGAGCTGCGCTTGTTTTGACATTCAGTAGGTGCACCGAGAACTCCAACTCGAGTTACTCCGTTCGGAGCTGAGGGAGCCGCTACTGAACGCACCATCACCACTACTGCAAGGGAGGTCATGGGGAAATATTGTGTCCCTGAACTGCTCCTGCTGCTTCAAACACCTTAGAGCTGTCGGAGCTGCTCGTCGGTTTCAAGTCGTACCCAAACCCAGCAATGCGCGTCGCTGTGGAGAGGGGAATAACACATCAGCTGCCCAAAAACTATATGAGAAACTTATCCCATGAGTAGCGGGCCTTATAGCAAGCTCGTTTCAAACGCACTGGCATTATGCGAGTCATCTCCCAGAGTGCACCGCACTCGCGGAGTGCCGCACGAAGAACCGGTCTCAAACTAACTTACCGAGTGCAGCCTGATGCTGTCACCATCTGCATTGTAGTAAGAGTGCAGACCTCAAACTGAAATTAGCGCTCTGCTGTTCGACATGACAGGCAGGAATGCGATTGTGAGTTGCCGCAATGTGTAGTTTATATCTGTGATGACTTCAAACAGCTCGGCTGTGAGAGATATTTACAGATGGCATTAGTTCCTGTAACCAGCTCAGTACAAAACAGCTGTAACTTTTTGTTGAACGATACACTGGAAAAAAACTGTTTGTGCAAAAGCTTGATCAGAGCAAACGCAAGAAATTTGAAGGCTAGGCACGCTTTGCGGAACAAAAGGGTGCCCACACGACGCTTTCTCTGAAGCGTGCTCCTTCTGTACGAACAGCCCAAGTTAATTTTAGGGTTAGAATATTGTTTGCCAGTTTCACGCTGTTTTGGATGGGTGTGAACTTGGTGGCGGGCTCAGTCTCGTCGTAAGGCGGTACTCGGTCTTGTTGACTGATACTGCCGTTTCGTTTGACACTGCGATGTGCAACACTCTCGAAGCTATAGCTAGCTGTAGGGCACGTTTCATTCTTGATTATCGCCGCTTGTCCAGAAAGCTCTGTGACACTTGTTACAAATGCAAGCTATTACCCGTGAGAATCCAGACATAATTTTTAAGAAGTGCAGGACTGTGGAGAGGCAGCGCAACTTGCTTTGATCAGAATCGTGGTGCGATCAACAAGAGCCTGTTTCACTTCTCGTCAAGTGACGGCATAGTGACTCGTGCCCCCGAACGCTTGGATGCCCATCAAGCACCAACGTCCTGGACACATTCTGTGGGAGAACTTTTGCAAGTGTAATCCTAGGGCTACCTTTGCTGCTTGTAGTGCTACTAGAGTTGGAATGAAATTCCATGTCCAGCATTGAGTCTCTGCCATGGTGTTTGGCAAGCTGAAAAACTGTGCTTGTGTGTTAGCAGCCAGTCAAACAACTGTGCCAAAAACAGCCCGTCATTGAGACAAGGGTGAAACTTCCTCATTTTGAATGTGATTCAGCTGGATGAGCGAGAGCGCCCGCCAGGGTCACGGACCTGCACCAATAGCTTTATTCCTCTCAAACTTTTTACTGAAAAGGGTGTAGACCTATATTCAGGATTTGGAACAGTTTGATTTGGTCCTCTCTGTAGTCCCTATATTTCCACTCAAGTCCGGAAATATAGGGATTACAAATGTCGGGATGGGCAGGCCTTTGGGCTCTTAAGGACACTGAAAGAGGCAACAAAAACCTAAAATAAGCACTCTAAAAATCAAACTTTTATCTGTTTACTTTGCTCACCTTCTGTGATGCGACACACCATCACATTCTACTCCATTTCACCTTGTGTTGTACCGCAGCCGACGATACGAGCCACCGGAGCCAATCCAACTCTGTCGCTGCCAGATGACACTGTGCTCCATGTGCCGTTGCACCCAACGGACAGGCCACGTGACACACCTTCGGCACTCGATTGGCTCCGATGGCTCGCAGCATTGAGAGTAAAGTGCGGTATTGCTTTTTGTGTCTAGTAACTCACCACTGCCGCCGAGCTGCTACGCCAGAAGCACTCGGCAGACCCCACCAACTCTACCGCCACTACGCTTCGTTCACCCCTACGCTGACAGGGCGGTAGGAGCCATGCGGTTGGTGGGCCAAGCTTTTATTGCCTCATGTCCGATCTGCACATCTGTATGAGAAAGGGGCATGATAAGTGATGCAAGACTGACAATCGGCCGGTTCACCGAGCATGTAGCCTCCAGTGCCCTGTCAGTTAAGGGGTGAATGAAGTGTAAAGTTGGTATATAACAGCCGTCTACTGTCCCACTCTCAGGCATGCCACCCTTGACCAGTCCAGTCGTTGATCTTTAAGCAAGGTTAAGCAATGACTGCCACGTGCCACCACACATGGAGGTGTCCAGGGAACAAGTGAAGCTAGTGAAAAAGCAGACACCATAGCTCTTCCCAAAGCACCCTGTTCTTTCTCAAGAGCGGCGAGTTCATCCAGGAACAGTGCAATGGTGCTCGGTGGTCTGTGATCGCAGACCACCGGTCATAGCCCCACCAACGGCGGCGGTGGCGCCCCCCCCCCCCCCCCCCCCCGCCCACTGACGTCACTCAGGTGACAAGCATTTCACTCGCATGACGTGATTCTAAGCCATACTCACTATAGCTGGCGACAACCCGTAAAAGGCATACGCTGGCCCTTTGACCCACGCGGAGTGCAGTGCAGGAAGTGGAACGGCATCGGTGACCCAGTCGCTGCAGTTACCCAGAACTGTTTTACTGCTGTCTCGGCGAAGGTGCAGGCCCGCTGTTTGATGCACGTAGGTAGAAGCCATCAGCCGCAAGCATCGGAGACCTGGGCTGGAAAATTTACACCCAACAAAACAATAACCATGAGAAGAGTGGTCTAGCCAGTGAATGACAAAAACATGAAAAGCAGGCACATAAAGAAGTATTTCTGTTACCTTCTCTTGCAAAAACACAAAAAGCAGGCACATATAGAAGTATTTCTGTTACCTCGTCTCATGCTCAAGCATTATTTTGAATAATATGCATCAATAATGCCTACCTCGCAGTGGCTTTCTGAACAAAATGTAGTAGAAAATACAACCAGTTGAATACCAAAGGAGAAGTAGAACAGAGAGGCACTTATTTGTTGTCACTTTAACATGGAAGAGCACAACTGTTCGCGATTAACCTGTAGCAAAATCGCTTAGCAGTTCTGCTGCAGGTGTGAATGTACCACACGGCAGAATGCAGTATTTGTGCAGAAAACACCATCGCAGGCCTACCAGGAATCCAGGATGAAAGCGACTAGCTCGCGCTTTTAGCACTCGCGGCTAACAATAGTCCATACTAGAGCACTATATAGCTCCTACGGAGCAGAGTAACGCAATCCTTTGAACCCCGTGTTTTGCCGACAACATGGCCGACAGAGCGGCTCGGCGCGAGTCACGTGGTACTCAGGGTTCCAGGAGGCGGCCCGCCCTATGGGAGAATACATGGAGATCGACACAACACGGCTGATTAAAAAATGAACGGCGAGTTCACACTTTTCAAAACTAGTCTGTCGTGAAGTTAGTAAAGCACTAAACACTTTATCAAAGTTTTAACAATATCGGATGCGTGTGCAAATTTTGAGAAGGCAATTTCCAAGGCAATGGCGTTTGAAGCAGACGATTTTTGCTCGCAGCGGAGATGGGCTTTTCGGGTTGGCCGGAGCGGGTCACGTGAATGGTGTGACGTCGCCGTGTCGTCTGCTGTATGATGCCGCTCAGGCAATTTTAAAAAAAAAGTCAGGTCCTTGCGGGGCACAAAACTTAGCGCAAAGTATTCTAAAGTGTTCCATTATTATGTCAAAAATGATTTCGATTCCGTACATTCCCACAATACTGGAGAAACAACGATTTTCTCACGTTCTCCATGCATTTCTGACCGCAGTTGGAACCTCCGGGCGTTCGCCGCTAGTCGCCGAGAGGCGGCGTTCTAGATTGCGCTACTCTGCTCCGAAGGAGCTATATAGTGCTCTAGTCCATACTAAGGTGAGACGAAGCATAATGGGAATTTTTAGCTGGGAGACGGCCTCACCGGGGAATGAGGCGGAATGAGAGGGGATGGATCGCAGCTCTCCAGCCACACTAGGACCCGGCGGATCGAGTCGTCTTGCGTCTCGTCGGCCAGGGGAGGCCCGGACGAGGACTCATCAGACGACACTAAGAGACCATCGCCGGAAGACGGCGAGGGCCGCAGGGAGAGGTCCGAGCTGCTATCGGAATCGGCGCCTGGGGAAGACCTGGCCGAAAATCCAAGAGGAGGCGAAGACAGCGAAGATCCAAGGGAGGGCGGCGAGAAGTTATCGATGTCGACCGGGTTCTCCAAGGGAAAGACTCCGCTGCAGTCCAGCTCGTCTTCCACGGTCATGGCTGCCCAGAAAATCGAGGATTCGCGGGTATCACCAGTGTTGCCAGATGGTCCCAACAAAAAACCGCCAAACGGCTGGGAGGTATAGCCCAAATATAGCCAAAGCCACAAAATAAATATAGCCCAAAATAGCCAAGACTAAAAACGACGATTTTTAAGCCTTTTATTGACAAGTTTTCATACGCGCAAAAAACAACACGTTAAATTCTCTTTTTCAACCTTCAGATGCGCCACTTTTTGTGTACATTAGGCTTCAGAAGCTTCAGAAGGATGAAAATTTCGTAGGTTTTCAGAAATAGAAAACATACATGGACAGCTGTATTGTGAAGCCCGGGAGATATAACCATACAGTAAAAGAATAGAATGTAGAAGCAGAACAGTCAGAACTGGGAGTTTTAAACTAGCACCCCCTATATCTAAGGTTCTTACCAATAAACCACCCGTCTATTTTTCTTTGAATAGAATATGAGCGTCCCCCGTTCCGGTTCAAGCTATTTTTTATTGTGTTTCTTTTCTTAAAGTTGGCGATGCCTAAGAATTTTCGCAATGGGTACCAAAGCTGCGTTGGGAGAGTCCAGTCTACGTCCGGGTAGAAGACGCGCTACCGGACCTGTAAAAACAGTGCAATCTGTTTGTTTGATTTGCTTCACTGCGCTGTGGGGAGACCGCTTGAACTCTGCTAGCACTGCTTCTCTGCGCATTGTGAAAACCCCGAAGTTTGTAGAAGTTTGAAGCCATTCTCCTTCCTCTCTCTCTTCTCAACTAGCCAAAAGAGAAACCATTTTTTTTACGAAACTGACTAGAAGTTCGAAAATTAATTAGTCGAACCTCAAAGTTCGACGTCGAACCTGAGGTTCGACAAGAGTTCGCCGCACCCTTAGAAATAGCCCAAAAATAGCCACATAGCCAAAAGCGAAATTTTGACGCCAACTAGAAAAAAGTGTAGCCCAATTTGGCTATATATAGCCCAATCTGGCAACACTGGGTATCACCGGTATCACCAGCTACAAGCGTTTTGGGCGGTAAAACTAGAAAACGCTGATTGGCTGAAAAAAAGTACGTCACTTCCGGTTTTGTTATTTTGTTGATTTTTAGGCGACGTTTTAAAGTAAAAATATATAAAAAAAAGTTATTTTTCTCTTTTGTTTTTGTGTGATTTTTTTTAATTTCTGTTGGTACGGTTTTGTTTCGCCTTGGCGCCGTTGGCCGCGACGGCTCAGAGCCGTATATTCATCCCCATCATAGTTTGGCCAGTGGGTGTGGCGACGAAGGCGCCGGAGAGGAGAAAAGTAAAGGCCGAGGCTACATCCACGCGCGGGGACGTAGCCAAGTCGGGAGGAGCAGGAGGAGATAAGGCTCCATCCACGCAAAAGGTCACGTGACTTATAATATAAAGAGATAATTTGCCTTTATGTACATATTATACCTTCTTATGAGTAAATATAGGATATAAAAATAAAGAGGTTATATTTCATTGTTGTTTTAAGGTTAATATGTCATACGTGACCTTACAAATGTTTAGACAATTCATTAATAATTTACTGTTTTCTAAGACTAATAGCAAATATGATGCAGCATGAAAATAGTACCAATTGAGACGTTGCCTCGTCTTTTTATACCTTCTGGTGTGTCCTCTTTTCTGCCCCAGTCTCAGGTTTACAATCATGTTCAATATATATCTTTATATTTATGTTGTCCAGGAGTCACACACACGTGTGGGCGGCGTGCGTGCCATCCGTGCGTGCGGGCGGTGCGGGTGCGGCCCCCGGGGCCTTCGCCCATGTGCGCATCGCTGCTGAGGCGAGGCGGAGAGGCTTCGTGGTGTGTGTGGTTGGCTTGGTTCGAAGCCTTTCAATGTGAGCTTATGTGTATCGAAGGGGACAAGTACGTGCCCACCGCTTCGTACGTTCTTGACTTGCGCGCACGCTTGCAATCACACAAAGATTGTGAGAAAAGGGAAAACATGCACTAGTCCCATGAATAACAAACATACTGAGAGCATTCAATGGAGAAAACTGGGTAAAAGATTCCAGAAACAGTTTATTCCATGACAAATAAGACAGTAGCCGATGCGCAGATGCCACTCGTCCACGAGATCACCGATGAACACGAAGCCCTGCTTGCGGCAGAACTCCTGCAGGAGCCAGTTCACGTCTCTGTGCCGATCATTCAACGCCTGGATATCGGCACTCTGCCTACGCTGACACTCCAACCGAAAAGAACCTGTTCTCCCAACTCGGAAGAAAAAGCGATCTGCGTCGTCGGATTGCGTTCCAAAATCTGAGCGGCCAGCCGACGGTACTTGTCAACGTACGCGCAGGCAGAAACGCTGGTGTTGTTTGTGCCAAAATCGAGCAGGTCGTCAGACACTTTGAGAAGCAAAGCCTTGATCCTAATGTTACTAAACACCCGCACTTCGACAGCCACCCGGTTATTCGATGTGAAATACTGGGACAAGTATTTCACCATCGAACCCCCTGCAACCAAAACTGAAGGCATATCAGAACCGCGACCGTGTGAATACGCAAAGTTTTCTTGACCAAGCAAACAATAAAAAAAAAAAAATAAAAACAACACTTCAGATAAACCCGCTTGGGGAAGACCAGGCAGAAACAGCAGTCCGCGCACGGCAGGAACGCAAGGAGCAATGGCCACCGAGCACAAGGCAAAACAAGACCGTAGGTTGATTGCTGCGTGGACGGAGAGAAGACGGAAAAAGGTTCCGTCCACGCAAAAAAGTGACGTGGGCGCCGGAAGTGACGTAGTGCGTGGATGGAGCCTTATCTCCTCCCGACATGGCTACATCCCCGCGCGTGGATGTAGACTAGACCTGTGCGCCGCCGCGCCGCGCCGCCGCCGCCGCCTGTTTTGCTCCCACCGCCCTGCGCCGCCGCCGGAGTCCCCAGAGCCAGCACGCCGCCGCCGCCGCCGCACAATAAATCCGGCGCGCCGCCGGCGCCACCATCTTTTTTTTTTTTTTTTTTTTTTTTTTTGTGTGTGTGTGTGGGGGGGGGGGGGGGGGGGAGGGGGTATTGGTGTTTTTTTCCCTGCTTCTGTATGAGTTTTACTTACTATATTATGCATAAAAATTAAAGATTTTTTGCCTTTCATTTTTACTCCTGTAAATATATCAATACGCCTCGCAAGTGGGCTCATTTTCGTCTTCTGCGCATGAGAAAGGAAGTAGCGGTGACGTCAGAACGCCGAGCCCTGATTGGCTGATCGCGACCCCCTATCTCAGCGTCGTCTGCTCCTTTGCAGTGTCGTCTGCTCGCAACATCGTCTGCGTCTGTCTTACCTTTCCTGCGACTTTCGGAGCGAACTCGACTTCGCCTTTAAGAGAGGGCAGACGAAATAACTCGAGCGGTACGTTGTTTTTGTTTAACAACT